CTTGGGTCAACCCCTGCCCCACCGTCTCTCGCTGTTCATGACAGTGAGCCACCGCCATCTCCCACCCGTGGGGTCTCTCGGCACCAAACACAAAGGCCTGGACCTCAGGACCGGGGACCACGCACGCCTGACCCTCCGACTGCTAACCCTTCCGGGCCGTGCTCGGTGCCGGCAGGCACATCTCAGCACGCGCGCCTTTGCCAGGTTTCTCACTGTTTCCTAAAGAGAGACTCTCAGATGTGAGATTCCTGGAACAGGAACCACCAGGGTCCAAATAAAAGCCCACGTTTTAAAGACCGAGCTCGGATGCACAGAGTTCCCTGAACTAGGCAGCGGTGCTGGCCTGGGCGGGGCGGGCACGGGGCGGGCTGGGGGTGGACACAGCAGGTCTCCCTGGGGGGCCGGCAGCTGGGGGGCCTGGCGCCTACTCACTGACATGCCTGGGGGTGATCCCGAGGGTCTGGATCATCATCGCCTGCTCCCGCGTCTCGGGGATGCCATCCAGGATCCAGCCCTGGGAGGAGAATTCCCAAAGGCGCCCGCTATTTTTATCTCCCAGAATTTCCAGAATTAATAAAGGAACCGATAGCTTTATAGAAAGACCGAAGCTCTGAAGACAAAATGAAGGGAAACGACAGCCGCACCTGTAGTCTGTTTCCCGTCACCAAACGCTCCTCCCTGAGCTCTCGCTGCTGCGGCCACAGGGGGGTCCAGCCTCGAAGGTGGACGCACCCGCCTGCTGCTCCCTTCGCCCCGTTTCGCGCCCTTGTCTCTGAACCTTGCCGGGCGGGCACCCGGATGCCGGATGCCGGGAAAGAGCCTCCAGATAAATGTGTGACTCCCGACGCCCTGGGCCGGACGGCGGCTGTCCTCCCGCATCTCCGTCAGCCGCAGGCGTCTGGGGAAACTCCGGCCGAGGAGCGCCGCACGGCTGCTGTGCGCGCGTTTCTTTGATCATTAATGAGGCTCAGCCGTTTTCTCCATATGTTGACTGGCCAGTTGCGTTCTTTTCTTTTCCAAAAATGCCTCTTCCTGCCATCTCTGCACTTCCCCTTGGGGTTCTTGGCCTTTTATTTATTGACAAGAGCTCTTTGCATATTAAAAGCATTAACCCGTTTTGGCAAACGCTACCCCAGGCCGTTGGAGGCCAACAGTGTTGCCAGCAGCCTGTCTTCGGCTTTTCATCTCGTGTGTGGTGCTGTCTCTCGCACACGTGTTTTTGGCCGAATCGATCACTTTCCTCTTGGATTCCAGCGCCGGGTGGATGTGTGCAAACGCTGAGAAATGCCACTGGCGTCCTAACTGCGTCCTCCGGCCCTTTTTGCCCGTTCGGTCAAGTTCCGAGTGGAGCCCCTTTTTATTCTGGAAATGACGTGAGGCTGCGGTCGCCCTTGTCTTCTTGCGGCTCACCCGCCAGCCCGGCCTCGTCCCTGCCCCTGCCCCTGCCCCTCTGATGCCCCCGGCATCGCAGTCCGCACGCGGGTTGGAAGCTGGCCTGGCCTCTGCCGGCCTGTAGAGCCTGTGCCGTCCTCACAGCTGACATCGTCGCTGCGTATAACTTAGCTCTCTCACGGGACATGTTCTTCCCCCTTCCTCTTCTTCCCTCCAAATAATTTGTTCTTCCAGGTACGCAGCACATCTTTTCGTCAAGTTCCAAAATGGAAATTCTACTAGGCTTGCGCAGTAACGTGAACGTGTAGGTTAATTTCTGAAGCAGCGACATTTTTACAGATCGCCATCTTCCTGTGGGTGCACATGGTTGTGTCCCTCAGCAATATCAACATCAAACAGTTTCTAAAGTCTTTCCAAGTCCCGGGAGCCGTCTCTCTCTCTCACACACACACACATGCGTGCACACATTCACACACACATACACACTCACACACATAGACACACATACATACACACACACTCACACACATAGACACACATACATGCACACACTCACACACATACATGCACACACGCACATGCACACGCATATATGCACACACACTCATGCACACACACACACACCTTAGTGCTCCTAACTGCACAGCCAGATACATTTGCAAGAGTGAAATGATGCCACAGATAGCTTCAGGTCTTCGTTCTGCAGCGGGGGTCAGGCGGGGTTCCGACACTGGCTCTCAGAAGGGGACACCCCCTGCCACACACCCCTCCCTCTTGGTCATTATGAGAACTGGGCTGATTAAGGTCAGAGGGCGGACAGGTGGGGTAAGGTCAGACTTAAGGTCGCTCATTACCCTCAGCACCTGACACCCAGGACCTCGGGGGGATGGGGCAAGCAATCTTTTTCTTTTTTAAAGTATTTTTTATTGATTTCAGAGAGGAAGAGAGAGAGAGAGAGAGAGATCAATGATGAGAGAACCATTGATTGGCTGCCCCCTGCATGCCCCACACCAGGGGGCGAGCCCACAACCCAGGCATGCGCCCTGACAGGGAATTGAACCCTGACCTCCTCAACGCTCAACCACTGAGCCACGCCGGCTGGGCAGCAATGTCTTTCTCAAAAAAACAAACAAACAAGCAAGCCTGCCTTTCCTCAATATTAAAATATTTAGGTTCTAAAAACCTCAGGTGACAGTTTTAAAGAAAAGCTAAACAAATTTGCAGAGTAGGGCGGGCTGGGAAAACCAGGCATGCTCCAGCTAATTTCTTAAATTATGCAGGAAAACACACGGCCGTGGGACCCCTGGTTTCTAAAACTAACGAATCAGGAGTGCAAAAAGATATTTTTCACAGCCTTTTGCTCCCTCAAGTCCTTGTTAGAGGCAGCGGGCACGGGGCTGGGCCCTCGGAAACGGAAGCCTCCGCAGCAGCGAGCCCGCCAAGACGGGAGACCCTCTGAGAGCCCCTGGCAGCCGGACGCGCAGCCCCGGTTTCCTGAGCCTCGGCTACATTCAGACCCTTCCCCCTTTATCTGGAGGGAGGACCGGGGCTGGCGCCGGCACGGAGTCCCTCTCAGACGCTGAGGGAGGCAGGCGCTCCGACCTCGCTGGGCTCCGCGGGGACGGCCTCTGCGTTTAATATTGCATTGCAGAGCGATCATTAGCATCTCGCCCCACGAATCCGCAGCTGATGTCAGTATGTGGTCCGCAGCTTTTAGAACTATTTGGGGGAGTCGCTTCCACCGACTTCCAATTACACGGGAAAGTGCAGCAAAGTGAGGAGCAGCTCCCTAATTAGCCGGCTCGGCTCCGCGCATCACCCCGGGGGATCTGAGGCTCTGAGCCGGAGGAGGTGGGGCTCGGGCGAATCCCGGCCAGCCGCGCTCCCAGAATCAGAGGTGCTAGAAACAGGCCCCCGAGGGACCCCCAGGGCAGCCTCACACCCCCTGGGGCAGTCCCCCTCGATGGGGAAGTCGTCAAGCCACCCGTCGGCCTGCACGGGCCCAGGAACCCAGGCCCTGCGTCCGGCAGCGCGGGTCCCGGCTTCTCAGGCCTGTGTCCTCACAGGGTCCTGCCACTGTCCAGACTGTGGCCTGTTTTTCCTTTCCTTTTGCTTTTTAAAAATATATTTTAATGTTTTGGTGGCTTCAGTCTAGCAGGGAAGACATGAGGGAAACTATCTGAGTGCTCTATCCACTGAGCCACACCAGCTAGGGCGGTGGGCTGTTCTTTCGAGAAGAAACAGCAATTTTGGCCGAGAGCAAGTTCACGGCTGCACAATCTGGCAAAGCAAGACGCCACAAGTCGGAGCAGCAGCCGACCCTGCCACCACGGGCCTGGTCAGGGTCGCCCGAGG